TTTTTAATAGAAATTTAAATTTTAGTGGATTTTTAATAGAAATTTTATTTTATAATAGACTTTTAACAGAAATCTAGATTGCAATATGTTTTCGATAGGGGCGAAATTGAGTTTATTAAATTTTTTATGCAGTATTTAATTGTAATGAAATTTTCTCATAGATTTGGATTATAATAGATTTTTATAGAAATTTAAATTATAATAGATTTATATAGAAATTTAAATGGAAATTTAAATTGAAGTAGATTTTTAGTAGAAATTTAATTTAATTACTTTTAAATGAGCGTTATGTTAATTCTAATAAATTTTTAATATAACATTTATTTTTTTGCACTATAAGTATTCGATATATAATCTACTCAATCAAAACTCAATTTCTATATCGAAACAAAATCTAATTTTTCTGTTGGAAAGAAACAAAAATTGTTTCGTTTCATCAGGGAAATTGTTACAGTTGAATCAAATTCGAACAAAATATTAAAACTTTTTAATATTTATTATTCATCTAATTGTATCAAAATGTTCATAATTATCAATTTATAATAACGGCGTTAGGTGCAACGATTTAGAATCTTGTACTTACGGTCTTGTAAGTACTTAGGGTTGCTTGAAATCTTGCTTCAAGGGTTTTAATATTTTAGTATGAAAGATTGTACTATAAAACAAAGAGAGAAGTAGTCTGAAAGGTAAAAGGATGCATGTAATAAGATCCATGAAAGGGTTTTTAGCAGCCAACCTGTATCTAATACCTCGTCGAACATTTACGATGATTAGCAGGAATTTGCGATGGCAATGGCCGGCTGGCTTGTACGCGCCTCCTGCAAGTGCGCGAAATTAAGTATGAGACTTGTACCTTCTCTTGTTACCCTTACATGTTAAGTGAATATTAGCAGTGACACACGATTTCCTCCTTTAAGTTTAAAAGTTATGTTGCTCATCGTAAGGATACATTTTTGTAAATTTATTCCATGTTCTACTATCTCAAACGACGATTTCCTAGTGTTTAAATACTTGCAATTCAATATTAAGGGTTTCTTGATTAAATATTCGATAACCGTAGCAATTTCAACCGTGAATTAATAATTGGACTTCAGCGATGTAAAGTGTGTGTGAAATTTTCTTTTGGAATTATTCTTTAAAAGAGGATATCGAAAATACTTTCTGATACAGCATTTTTAATAAGTCATTTAGTAGGGAAACCATATTTTGAACACATTGTCGATGGTATATGCTATTCATTGTGAAATGGAGTAAAATTGACGCTCAGATTGTCCACAAAAATGGACAATTTGGGAAGAGGAGGTATGATTATTCGAGCCTTGCAGCTCGTTTTTGTATTTACCGATTGTCAACAACTATAAAAACGGATCGTAAGGCTCGAATAATCGTACCTCCTCTTCCCAAATTGTGCATTTTTGTGGACAATCTGAGCGTCAATTAGGAAGAATTTACTGCATATCTTGCTTCAATTCTCGTGCATTTTGGATTCGATGAAAAATTTATTTAAAGCAGCGAAAATGTACCGTTAGACAAAATCTGTTATTCAAAAATTAACGAATGTAACTAATGACAATGCAATGGTACTTCGTTTAATAACCTTTGTTCATACGAACTCCATTTTAGTAATGCTTAATTGCATATTGTTTTAAGAAAGAAATTCACTATAATTTAAATTTATATTAAAAATCTACATTAATTAAAGTTTGTATTGAAAATCTCCCATAAGTTAAATTTATATTAAATATTTATTCAAATTAAAACATCTATTAATAATTTATCATAATTTGTATTGTCATTCAAAATTTTGTCAATAGTATAAATAATGAATCGCATGCCAATAGACATACAGGAAAATATTCAACACACAATTCAATTTACATTTTTATGCACTAGGTAAAGATACATACAGAAAATGTGACCTATTAAAAATGAATTCCAAAGCAGCAAGGATAACTCGTTGGTATACGACTGAAATAGATAGTATCGCTAAACAAATTTATCACGCAATTTGTAACTGTAAATTATGGACTTTCGGAAATTGTAAAATGATCGCCGGTAGATAATGTGTTATCTGATATATACTAAGTGTTCACCTGAATCGTCAAAGTTTGACAGCCGGAAATAAAATTTTCGGTAATTATTATAAAAAGAAAATACGACACACATGTAACAAATAAAATTACAATATATGAAGCATAAGCAAATAAGCAATGATTCACCATTTTTATTAGTTGTAAATCAATGACCAGGATTTACTGTTAATTTAGAAATAATAATAATATAATATAAATCATTGAAGTATTCAAAAGATATGTTTTCATGCTTCTAATTAAAATAATCTTAATTATTTATTAAAATTTATTAAAATAATTTTAAATATTTTTCAGATAGTAGAAAAATATTTTTTAATACGCTTGAGCGCAAAAGTCTGAATTTCACGGAACGAAATGTATGACATACACCACTTTCAAAATCACCGACACATTTGGAGTACGAAGCAACCTAATGGTTAGAAGAACAGGTCGCGAATCTAGCCCAAGGATTAGCGTGTGCCCGATGTCACGGAAGATCCACGAGACACGAGTTACTTAGCCTTGGGTTCGTCTGGCTTGACCTACGCGTCCGAGTGTATCCGCCTATCCACGGATAATCCGCAAGCTGGACGCGCGGCGCGGATAGGGAGGACCGGTTTTTTCAAACTTGATAAGAGGATGACGTGAGAAACTCTAATGCCCGATACGTGGGGGTATGATTCCGTTCGAGTTGGTAAAGGGGAGACAGGTGATCGGTGAAAGGAGGAGGACGAATAACGCCGGGCCACGAAACGGAACGAGAGAGGGAAGGCAACCGTGCGCGGACCGCCTCGAGGAGAGAGCGGAGAGACGAGATCGTTTGTATGCGCCGTTCTTCCTCCCTGGACCAGTTTTCGTGCAGGTACCTCAAACTTATACGACCCTGGCGGAATACTTCAAGGGTCTCGATCTGCTTCCTACAAGATCGAGCTTGTTCTTCGTTGTCATACCGCAGATTAATCTGCTGCGGTGCCCTTACCTTTCGCTGTAGCTATTCCAATGGTGGACCCGGCTGGCCCCCTCTACCCCCCGTTCTCGTTACAACCTCGCACAGTGATCGGAATGCTCGATCTAGCTTGGCTAAAACGAAAAAGTCCGATTGGAAAAAGTCGCCGCCCCACTCCATGGATTCTGTATTATTCGCGAACGATGATATGTTTTCGACAGCCAGTATATTTTGTAGTTAACGCGCTGGTCGCTCAACAGTGACGTTCTATTATTTTTTAGAATTATTAGATGAATTAGTCTGAAACTTTGCATATGTGTTATGATAGACCAATTTTATTACTTCAATTTACGCGAAGATAGATCAAAGGTGTCTAATATGAGATTAATTATTTTTTAAATCATAATTTTCGATTAAAAGAACTCTTTTATTCAAACTAACACGTTTAAAAATTAAGATACGTATACTTTGTAATAAAGGAAAAAAACTGAAAGTATGAAAATTCACAGATTTGAAAAATGAGTTCCTAACATGGGACACGGTTTGACTTTTTCAAGAAATTTATTCTTTTCGCTTTTTTTCACACGTTGGGCGTATCAAATTTGTTTCTTCAACACAAATTGAATGCACTATATAATAGAATTTAGTTCAGTGTTTTCTAAAACTGTCTTCTTTTAATTATATGTTTTTGAAAGAACTATTAAATTAATTAGTCCGAAGCTTTGTATTATTATAATTTGATTAAGTTACACGATTATTTCATTTGAATATGTGTAAAAATATAGTCCGGTTTTGGTGGTTGACATGATAGCTCCCCTTCAGATAATCTGAAATAAAACATTTCAATGAGGTTTTCCTTTATACACGTACAGTTATCGTTTCACCTGCAATTATTTAAGAAAAAGACTTTTAAGCAGCTGCTTAAAGTGAAAAGTTTCTTTTCAAATGTGTAGTTAAAATTTCATAGTTTATCGGTCCAATACTTTTTTAAAATCCTGTCAACTAGCTGCGAAGAATTAGTTTCCTGAAAAACGCGTTTAAAACACTTTGACTTAAAATTTTGCGCAAACATTCTTCAAGTGTCAACTACAATATTCTGCAAAACTGTCGATATTTTTTATCAAGAACAGGCAATTGTAGGATATTAAAGATGGTACTATAATCTGATGGTAATTTGGGTCTTTTAATATTTTTCATAGTTATCTTTAAACTCAATTAACCATTCGTCGGACAATCTGGGTCGGAGTAAAATTCCACTATTGAATTTTGAATAAAATTAGTTAGTATTTAGCTTTTGGCGTGAACGGGTCATTGGTACAAATCAGATTGTTTCATAGCAGCAAACAAGTAAAATTGATCTTCTATCGTAAACGATTTAGCTCTTCCGAATTTTCGAAAGTTAATCTCTTATTTGTACTTTTAATATTTAAACAGTTTTATCAGATTTGTGTTGTCCAATTGTTACATTACTATCGCATTTCATAACTATAAATTACCCGAACGAAAACGATGCTCGTTACATCCACCAAAAATGAATGAAAGAACAAATTACTCTTGTAACCATAAGAGAATAAGTGTATGAAATATTAAATCATTGGAGAAAACCTTTTAGAAGAAAATTTCTTGTAACGTACCAAATAACAAAACGATTGCGAAATTGTACAATAAATTTTTAGAGAAGATGTGAGTAAAATAAATGTTTTGAGTTGTTCTTTCAAAGACACCGATTTGCATATATGAAGCATGATCATTAGATTGCGGATTTTATGCATTTATGACAAAAATGTGTGAATGAAACACAAAGCACTGACACTATTACAAAAATGTAGCAATTTTTGATCACATTATTTATAACTTATTAAAATTTTTCAGAACGGAAATCATTGTTTATGCAGTTCTTGTTTCTCGCAACGCATGCACAAAATTTTGATTTTGCGCAAAGATCCACAGTTTAATGATCATAAATAGTGACTTTATATCTGTTCGTAATCATCTTGCGAGCACGATGTGTAATTATCGATTCTTGGATTCTTTTTATAGTAAAGGATTTTCGTGAATCTAAAGTCGATCTACGACTGTGCGTTGCTTAGACGATTAAGAGTTTGATTTGTGAGACCGGAACAATAGCGTTTGGAAATCGTTCGATTGAACATCTAATTAATTCGTAGAGGATGTTGGGAAAGTCGAGGTGGGCGAAGGAACCTACCATTAGAGAGATTTCGCAGCTAGAGTGGCGGCAGCGAGCTAGCCCGTGGTTTGGTCATAGATTAACGCTGGATATCGATCCTGTATAATTAATTTTGTACCTCGCTTAGTCGCCTGAAGTTGAGTAATACGGTTGGCGGCAGATTTCCTTTGTGAAGCATGCTCACAGGTGAAAATAATGAAACACAGCAAAGACCCTAATGTGACGAAGGGTTTATATTAATCAGCATTTTAATAAAGTTGTTCGTTATATTCAGAGTTGCCCTGTAACAGAGTTGCGCATTAATTATATAACATATCGAATAAATTCTTCCAATAAAATTGTATTTGAATAATATTGCGAGTAAATTCTTCGAATACAATCTTATTCGTATAATTTTTGAATAAATTCTTTGAATATTTCGAATAAAATTGCATTCAAAATTTATTAAATAAACCAAAATTGTGAAATAGGAACTCCTGACTCTCTTTCTTTATTCAAAGAATTTATTCGAAATATTTCTTGAACAAGATTTTTACAACTGCTAGATCTTGCGAAATAATAATTTTTGAATACAGTTGAATTCTTGTCAAATCGAAGCACTCCGAATGCATTTGAATTTTTATTAAATCTCTAAGTTTAAATTTTTGAAACCTGTACTTACTTCATGATCATTAGACTGTGGATATTTATGCAAAATAAACATTTTGTGCATTAATTGCAAAAAACAGGAACCTCATAAGCATTCATTTCTGTTTTAAATAATTTTAATGAGTTAGAAATTATAGAGTCGGAGTGCAAAATTTGCCTAAGAGTGTCACTGTGTTGTGTTTCATCTATTCACTTTTCTTAGAAAACGCATCAAATCCGCGCTTTAATAATCGCAAATAACTTTTCGTAACGTTAATGAAGAGCAATGTTTAACGGTAGCAATTATCTTTGAATAATACTCGCATTAATCAATTTTCCTCGCGTTCATTCACTTTCGAGAAGAGGTCGAAATCAGTTTGCTGGCAATACCTGCTCTAAAAAACGAGCCGACAAAGAGATACCGCATCTTCCAAAGTGTTTACGGTACTTTGGATGGACTTCGTGGTCCCTTAAGTACCTTGGCTTGTTTGACTGTTCTGAACGTCACTTAAAATTTTCTCTGTACATCGCCGTACGTAGACCGAACTTTCACCATTGGTTCAATAAAAGTTGATATCGAAAATTGCGTTATTTTTTCAAATTATTCCAAACCATTCAGAACAATTTGTTTAACTAAAGGTAACGATTAGACTGCGGATCTTGATGCAAAATTAAATTAAACACATTAATTGTAAGAAACAGAAGTTAAATAAAAATGTATTTCTTCTCTTAACAGTTATAAAAAGTTGAAAATAATGTAATGATGTTTTTAAATTCTTCTGATGTCTTCATTGCTTTTTATTTGCCTTATCCATTGTTGCAATAAATACATTAAATCCGTAGTCTGAGTAATCATATAACAAAAACTGCATGTTCCGTTGAAGATGAATCTATTATCGCATCTATTCTCGTTTTATCAATTATTATTTCATCCTTGGGAATTTTACAAGGAAGAATAGTGTTAGTTAGATTACTTCAGTATAGACAAGCTGTTCTTGTAAATCAACGTATCTTTTTCTTGAAAAACAACGCATGACACGTGCTTGTATCTTGACGTTCCTTTGGAAGATACATACTTTAAAACTATCTTAATGGCGAACTTCCAGTTTTGTATTGTTCACCGATAGCGTCATACTGAAATAAACGATATGTATTTAGGAAAAATTATTTACTTATATGCAGCGAAAAAACGTCTTTGCTATGAAACTTCAAATAATGAAACATACATGATAAATTAAATCGTTTCAACGTTATAAAATAAAGAACGTGATCTTAGTTTGCGGTATTTTCAGCTTTAATACATGATTTTTTTTAATTGTGTGGTTTTTAATTCACCTTTTTCTTTCTCTGTATCATTTCAACGAATTAAATTTAATGAAAGCTAATGAATATTATTACGAAGTGTAAACATTTCGTCTTCAAGTGATCTGTAAATTTGACAGTGCGAAATTTTACAATGTTTTCCCGAGTAGTATTGTTATTCGATCAATCTTTTATTTGATTTCATAGAAAATATTTGTCTATTTTAATTACAGAAAGAACATTTAGATTCGAGGAACATCATTACCTTCAGAGGAGTTTCAAGACATTATCTCACCGTTTTTGATTCGTTAAAATTGTTAAGAGAAAAGGTTCATTTTTATTTAATTTCTGTATCCGACGATGAACTTGGCACATTTTCATTTTGCATGAAGATCCTCATTAATTTGTAATTTTTACAAAGTCATTGCACTGTTCGTGAGACGACGTCGTTGCACTGAAATGTTTCCACAGCAATGTGTAGCATACATCGATTGTAAAAAGCATTTTCAAGGAGAACCCGAATTGGCCTGCCGTTTTCAAGCATTTTCTGTTTTCACTGAAAGCGAGGTTTCTCGGTACATATTTAGCATAATGTCGACCCTCTAATTAGGTAATCTGCGACAAGCAATGCGACAAAAAGATCTCTCATAAAAATTCCTTCGAATTGGAAACGAACTTTCGGAATCCATTGCTGGCTAGAGAGGATTAGGCCCGGGTCTATCGGTAAGGTTCTTTGATGTCTAGCTGGTCGTGTTTGATGAATATTAAAACACCGAGGGTAACGGTGCGTCCGACCCAGTTCTCCTAGGAAGCCGCGAATGATATCGTAACATCCTACGAGCGGGCACATCCTTCGGATGTCCTGAATAATTCGTCAGTCACAATCAAGCGATTTTGGTCCCCGGTTGCGCTTAAATAATTCTAATGCCATCGCTGCTCAAGTCTGTACACGTGCCATTTATATCTTCCGTGTTTTCTACTGATTAAGTATTCTATGTAGACCCTTCTTTCCATTGCTGATTTATTGACCCTTCCCGACCAAACCAAGTAGCACGCAGCCCTTATAAAGGATGCTTCTTTCATCCGTTAGAATTCAATGCATACATATTTCATTCCGTTGGCACTTGCAAAAATCAGGTCGAGATCAAACCAATCCACTGTTTCTGATTTTTTGTTTAAATGCATTGAAAAAAAAAACTGAATTTCGAGACACCAATTATTGCGAGTTCGAATGAATGAAAGTGTTCACATCAGTAATTAAATTTCTAACACTGTACATTAAATTCTGGGATACTGAAACTTCCAGATCGATATCTTTAAATACTTAAATATTTCGTTGCTGTCGACACCAATTGCTTATTTACATATGTTGTTAATTAAATTAAAGTGCAGATATTAGGCGTCTTTATAAGCTCGAGGTAGAAATTGTATTTTTACTTAATTTTCCAAACGTAAACTTATTATCGCCGAGAAATGATTGCTTATTCAAATATACATTCATCAATATACTATTATTTATATAATATTATTTGTATGATATTATTTACATATTATTTATATGTTATATGATGTTATTTATATGAATATATTATAAAATATCGCATACTTTAATTTTCGAAGCGTACTTTTACGGTCGTCGAGAAATGATTGCTTCATGAAATATTTTTTTTAGTCACTGTAATTAATAATATTATCGCGAATATTAGGCACAGTTATACCTTCGAAATAGAAATGAATATTCCATGTTTAATTCTCGCAGGCTAGCGGCTTTTACGTTGAAATCGGCTATTTAAATTAAGCGGCTTCATTGACGCGTGTCTTACGAAGATAATGCAAATTAGTGAATATAATGTGCGGGATCCGGATGTAGTGCTCATGAATAATAATCCACGCTATTTCACAGACAGCCGTATTTCGCTTCTTTTCCATGAATTTACTGTAGCCGCCGCGATAGGCTATTTAACTCACGAATGGTTACACCGTTGCTCCCTCGTTTTTATTTTTAGGTCATTGAAATTTCGCGAGTTTAATTATCGATTATCCTGAGCAATTCAATGGCTCTTTAAAAGAAATTCAATAGTTATTGTATATTTTCAATCGTTAACCTTCAATCGGTACCATGGGAATTTCGGAATACTTTAGCAGCGAATTTACGATTCAAAGTACTTTTGTTAAGCGCGATTTTACTTTTAAATCTTCCCTTTGACGTTCGATACGGTTTTATACGAGCAACTAGATTACGTCACATGGCAGGAACGCGAAGCAATTCGAACCATTTTCTAGTCTACCACGAAACAGTCATAGCTATAATATATTCGACGTAACGCATATGTGCAATCTTCTTCTTAAAGGTGCATTAGCGGTTGTGTTTATAGATTCGTTAAACAGTTTAATGTATTTGGAAAAATTTAGCAGTTTGGAAATTCTCGTTTCGTTATTAATATTTCATTTGTATTTTGTTTTACAGTCGTTTTCATTTATTAAAAATAGAGTAGCTATATGAACGCAAAAATGTAGAGTGTGTTTTACGAACACGTGTTTCAAACATTATAATTAGACTGCGAATTTTTTGCATTTATGGCAAAATTTACTGGTAACAATTTAAAGTGATAGAGAAATTTAAAGAACTTTGAAAATGTCAATGTATTATTTTTAATGCATTGAAATTGTTCAAGAATGCTCAATGAACGCAATATCTTTATCACTAGACTGCGGATTTTTATGCAAAATAAAAATTGTTTTCATCAATTACAAGAAATATAAACTAAACAGCAAGTTATTTCTTTCTTCGATAACATTAATGGATTTAAATTAACATACTGACATTTTTAAATTCTCTTAATGTGACTACTATTCTAAATTGTAACTATCCAAATTTGCCATCAATGCATAAAATCCGCAGCCTATTCGTGACATGTAAACGATCCTGATATCCGAACGATATTTCAGAACGAACGAAGAGAAAAATTAGTACTAGAAAAATGCTACACGAGTACATAAATAAACAAAATAATCGTGGTACACTGTTCATATATTTCAACAGTTGATTCATCGATTGGGACGGCGCACAGTAGTGTATCAGGTACAAAAAGATGGCCAAAATACAATTTTTCAAATCTGACGGAACAACAACAATATTATTGGATTGGCAACTAAGTAATTGCCGATTTCAGTTATAGATGTCTCCCACTCACATTTTTATGATATCCGTAAATGTTATATTATAAAATTATGATTATTATTATTATTATGTTATTTTTTATTATCCGTGAATGTTAGCAACTGGACAAATTGAATGCAGCGGTCAAGGAAAAGCGACCAGAATTGGTCAATCGTAAAGGTGTCATTTTCCACTCGGCAAAAATTGATAGATATTAGTTGGGAATTGATATTACACCCACCACATAGTCCTGATCTCGCGCCATCGGATTACCACTTATTTCGATCCCTGGACAACTCCCTTCGTGGTAAAACTTTTAATGATGGTGGCGCTGTAAAATCTCACTTAACTCAGTTTTTGGCCGAAAAAGATCAGACTTTCTACGAGCGTGGAATTTTCAAGTTGTCAGAGAGATGGCAAAAGATCATCGAACAAAATGGAAAATACATTACAGATTAAACTCCGTTCCAAGTAAAAAAAAATTTTTATTTCATTGAACAAATCGGCAATTACTTAGTTGCCATCCCAATAGATAATAACAAAAATATCTTTATTAGAATATTAAAATTATAAATTAACAGAAACAACAGCAATAACCTCTTTTACTTCACAATGTTATAGCTTACGTCAAGACGAATTTAACGACCTATATAAAACGGTATTTACGTCTTAAAACATTTCTAAAATCGTCGTGAACAGCTAAATTCATCGATTGCGTGGTTCTCGAAGGGTTAAGCAAAATGGATCTGTTTAGGATCGGCCTTGAATTCCGCAGAAAATCCGATCGGGACCGTAGCACTGGCAGTTTTTAATTACATAAACGTGTTTTAATTATTTGCTTTGAATAAATTAGATTGAACGAGCAAGGCGTTACGGCGCGGCGTCTGCCATCGTTACGCGAATTCCCAATCAATTTCAGGCGTGACTGCATACCGGCTAGGTGATTGTAGACTTTGCCGAGGATCGGTTAACTGTGCGCACGCGATAAAATTTCAATCGACGCATCTACCGTAATTGCTTCACGATTTGCCGGTAACTCCGATAATTACGGTCTATATCGGTGGGAGGTCTCGGCTCGCGATACTTCTTAAGCGGTATCAATAAATCATGACGCAGGATCCTTGCGAACGCATGAACTTCCTTCTACTAGTAGGCACGGGGAGCACTGTTACTGTTACAGCACAGCAGATTTCTCGGTTTCTCCGTGCGATTGGCCCGACCGTTTCCCATCGGTGCCCCCTATTCTGCCGCACAGTGGGACAAAATGCCGTTCCAGTTCTCGTAAAATCGATTTTACAACTTTCCATTTTTCTGAGCCGACCGTTTCAACGGAACTATGCACAGTGGGCGACTCTTCCTTGAAAGTGGGATACAAATTGAAAAGGGAACGTGGAGCGATCGGTTTTAATACTCGTATACCTACCTTCCAAACAAATTACAATAGGATTAGTGCGTTAATTACTGTGCTCCCCTCTGGTTACTGTGGCCTCGCAATAATTTCAGTTATACTTAAAATCGATATTATTAAATTAAAGATGTTGATTTTTTTCAATAAAATTTGATCTGTAATTTTCATAACCATATCAAAAGTTTAATTTCTCAAAACCTATAAAATGTGGAAACGAATTTTTTAAATTTCTGATATAAGTTTTAATGTGTTTTTACCTTGATGCTTAAGAATAAAGATGAAAAAAATACAGAAATAATGCTTCCCAAAGCAAAAAGATAAAATGTATTCATAAAACGTGTCTAAATTACAGAAAAACAATAATTTAATTGACCTCTTAGATATATTCTTTTATTGGAAGTAATTCAGTAATTGAAACAAATTTACGTCTTGTTTCTATCTCTTTTTTTTTTAGTACTGTAACTGGATTAAGTTTTCATGTCTTCTAAATTTTCATATCATTTTCGATGTTTACGTTGATGGCAGACCCATGGCAGACCCCACTTGTTACATTTATCTTTACTTTCTTGGTCTTTGAAATGTGTGTACATTTTTTGTTTGCTACACATGATTTTTGTTTCAGTTTTGAATAGTATCGTAAGCATTGAAACATATATGTTTCGGTATTATATAATATAATTCTTGTATTATATAATAAATTATGCTAAATCATTTAGTATGGAATATTTCATGTTTTTTTCAGATTTGTTATATTAGGATATAGTATTTACCTAGAACTGATCACAGTAATGGAAGCATAGTAATTAGATCAGTGCACAGAAATTGGTATACAGTAATTAGATCAGTGTACAGAAATTGACACACAATAACTAGAAAAGATTCTTCAGCTTTCTTCAGTTTATTAAAATTATTAAAAGAAGAAATGCATTTTTATTTAATCTCCGGGTCTTACGATTGAATTAGACAATTTTTATTTTGTATAATGATCAGTAAATGAATTATTACGATAAATGCCATCCAAAGCGAGATAGGTGTTTTCGTGTTATATTTTCACTCTCTGTTTTGATGCAATAATTTACCAAATGTTTCTGTGGGACAAATTGTACAGGTTCAGTGATATAAAAACAAAAGCAATTGTTACTGTTATTTAACGTAAATTGTCGTTTAAGGAATATATAACAATAACAATAATAATAATTATTATTATTTTATTTATATATGCTGCTAAAATCCTTTCTTACAAAGAAAAGAAGAGATGTCACAAAGACATCCCATGAGTACAATAAAAATATGCTAAAATACAAAAATACAAAAGAAAGATTAATAAAAAATGAAAGGATAGACTGAAGGATAGTGAACAGTGATTAATAATATTCAAGAATACAAATAATCAAGAAAGAGTCCCATTTGTATTGACTAGTAGATTATTGAAACAATTATGGTAACCGTAGAGCATACGACGAAATTTAGTAAGAAAACTAGAAATGTGTCTAAGGAAATGAAACGGCGGATAGAAGTTCCTTTTTGCCGGTATAATTAGTCATTGTTTGGCACAAATGTAAGTATGTATTAACAAAAATTTCAATTTTTTTTTCGCGCAAGTGCTGCAATTTCAGAGTGTCAAAATGGTATTTCGACTCACTATCTTTCCCTGTTTTGCCATTAACCTGGGGACCTTGAAGCCTAGGAAGTCGAACTCCACTCGTTGCTCAGTCTCTCGTTTATTTGTGGTCACTTGGAGTGGGTCCGTCTGGATTTCTAGAGAACGGATGTGGCGCGCGATATCTACCCGATTACATCTCGACAGAATCGCCTCGTTGACGAATCTCCTGTGGAATGATGAACGAGTGAAAGACGAGCGATGCTTCGCGGTCGGTATCGTTGAGTGAGACGTAGATTTCAACATCTGGGTCGTTATGCCATTAATCATGCATCTTCGACATTTTTCATCCGAGAATTATATAATATTCCCCGCTCGTAAATTCTGGATGTCTAGATCGTCGGGACTTCGAATGATACCATGTCGCTGGAACTACGCGCCATTTTGAATTTCAGAGGCTTCAGAAAACTTCAGGGCATTTTTCATTTTTGTTTGTGGACGATGAAGGATGAACGATCACCTTCAACTCATGCTCTTTCACATACATTTTCAAAATTATATTTCACTCTTCCTCTTTTATTTCTTTCGAGTTTTGATATTTGTGTCTCTTTTTTCTTACGGTTAATTGTTTAATAAATATGTATAATTGAGTTAATTAGTGTCAAGGATTAAAGCGGATTACTCGTAAATGTTAAGGTTAATTAATTTAGGTTTTGTGATAAGAAATAGTGGTGGTAAATTGCAACATATTCTTCGACGGAATCTGTTTACGCAGATTAAAGTATAAAAAGCAATGGTTTTTAAATTACAGTGTACATACTTATATCCTTTCTTGTAGGTCTGCAATAATGTTTGTCTTATATAACCTTGTCTTAAATAACCTACAGTAAGAAAATTAAATGCTAATTATCATTTTATTCTATTTTTAATTTGATCAAGTTCATAGACTTCATAATGAACTCATTCATCAATTCATAACGAATTTTTCGATAATTTTCGATGTATAACGATTTTGTGCATTCATGGCAACAATTAGTAAATGAAATACATACAAAATAGTAAAAGCTTGTTTTTAATTCTCTAAAGTTATTAAGACATAAAACAAATGATCATATAATTATGCACTCTTTCTCGTAACTGGCGCAGATTATTTCACATGGCGATTTATAGTTTAATAAAACCTATATCATAATTGGTTAAAGTTCATAATAGATTAACAAGCATTCTTCATATTCAATCGCATATTTTTAAATAATGTTTTTCTTCTGGAAACTTCGTTTCACTGTTTCGTTTGCCAATTAAAAAAGAAACATTCTCACCGTTCAACGTATTCGAAAGCTAGACGATATTAATTCGATCTTAAGTGTGGAATTAATGAGCTTACAAATCGATAACGACGACTATCGAAGAAATTTTACGCGCGTTTCACGATTAATTAGGCGATTAACAACTGTCGATTAGACCGCACGCGAAAAGAAGATTGTGTGATTGGATTGCGACATAGCAATATCGATTCGGAGCTCGTAATAACGCGGCTGCTAATTTCGTTATTGAAATGTAACGACTACGGTTCGATTCCTCGCCTTGAACTTTGCTGATACTTGCTCCACGTGCTACTTGCCCTCCTTCACTTTCTTTTTTCGTTTGTTTTATCATTACGTTTTCGGCCGACGCAGCATCTAAGTGTAAATAAACTTCTGGTCAGGAAGAGTTGCTTGTGTATCCATCCATCAGCTCTCTTTCTAAATACGAAAATGTTTGCAACGCGTCCGAGGGCNAAGCTTGTTTTTAATTCTCTAAAGTTATTAAGACATAAAACAAATGATCATATAATTATGCACTCTTTCTCGTAACTGGCGCAGATTATTTCACATGGCGATTTATAGTTTAATAAAACCTATATCATAATTGGTTAAAGTTCATAATAGATTAACAAGCATTCTTCATATTCAATCGCATATTTTTAAATAATGTTTTTCTTCTGGAAACTTCGTTTCACTGTTTCGTTTGCCAATTAAAAAAGAAACATTCTCACCGTTCAACGTATTCGAAAGCTAGACGATATTAATTCGATCTTAAGTGTGGAATTAATGAGCTTACAAATCGATAACGACGACTATCGAAGAAATTTTACGCGCGTTTCACGATTAATTAGGCGATTAACAACTGTCGATTAGACCGCACGCGAAAAGAAGATTGTGTGATTGGATTGCGACATAGCAATATCGATTCGGAGCTCGTAATAACGCGGCTGCTAATTTCGTTATTGAAATGTAACGACTACGGTTCGATTCCTCGCCTTGAACTTTGCTGATACTTGCTCCACGTGCTACTTGCCCTCCTTCACTTTCTTTTTTCGTTTGTTTTATCATTACGTTTTCGGCCGACGCAGCATCTAAGTGTAAATAAACTTCTGGTCAGGAAGAGTTGCTTGTGTATCCATCCATCAGCTCTCTTTCTAAATACGAAAATGTTTGCAACGCGTCCGAGGGCCCCGGGAACTTACTTTGCTACGTTACAAATCACTTTGTTTCGCTTTCCTCGTTTTTAAAGGCGGCCTTTTTATCAGGACACGAATCAAACAAAATTTCATCGGTTCCGATGGAACAGTTATTTTCTGACTTTGCACTTTTCTGTTCTAAGAAAACAGTTTTAAATCCACTGAAACTTTTATTCCATGCATTTCTGTATGAACAGTACATTTTTGTTTTCAGGCTCAGGGATTGGATTTTATGATATGAACGGCTTCCATTTATATGTTTTTTGCCAAATCTGTTTAGTAGGTGTGGTTTGTGCAGTGATCGTTGATACGTAGGCCTCCCATGATTCCTTTTTGTATAGCAAGCAACAAATGCTTTCACTACATTCGAATCTTCACCGACGCATATAAATCAGACTCAAGAGTAGGATATGCTATTATAGTTGACAATTAAATATTTAAAAAAATCCTTCCCAAACCAACACCAATTTTTATTGCCACAACGTACGCAATAATTGAAACATTAAGATATAACAGATAACATCAACAACCTTTGAAATCTTGCCGTATACATAGTAAGACACCATGACTCCATTGAAAAGTTGAAGTACTTCCTTGAAAAAGTTAAAATACTTCCAAAGAAATTTATCGTTTAAAAATCACAACTTGTTTACCCATCTATATGTATTTATCCTGTTTCCAGTTCCTTAAATGATGTTAAGCAAATTGAAAAATTTCAGAAAAAGAAATAATTCAGAAGTGAAAAGTTTACGCGCGAAGTAAGTTATGTTTATAAAAGTTTATAGTCAAATTCAAGCCCTGTTTTTCATTCGTCATTTAAATTTTCAAATTGCGCTTAATTTTAGAATGTTCATGCAAATTCAGTTTTTTGTAGACAGATCTAAAAAAAATGAAATACAAAAGGCGCTTCTTTTATTAAACTTAAGAGCATGGTAGATATCTCTCTTAATTTATTTCTCATGATATTTGGCCTCTGGAATCAAATCGTGTTCTCCTCTGATATTTCTACAAAAGTAATAAAAAAAAAAACCTCGGCAAAATTTATTTCTCATGATATTTGGCCCCTGGAATCAAATCGCGTTTTCTTTTGATATTTCTACAAAAATAATAAAAAAAAGAGTGTGAATGTTTTTTCTTCACATGGGTGCGTATCTTTTTATCAGCATCGAGCGATAGTGAATATCAAGACCAGTTCAATAATAACGTATCGTGACCCTCGTGTGACCTTGAATACGAAAAAATTCACTTCACGTAAACGCATGTTTTTGTGAAGTACGAACGCAAAAATTATTTGCAGATAAAAACTTGCTATCTAATTAGGAAATTATAACAATGACTTATTAATTTCATATTCTTTTACACTTCACATATATGTATATTTATACATACTTTCAGATCATATGCAAAAGTATATTACACGTGTTTTATGTGATACGCTTTTTTCATTAAGTTGATTTAGTTTATCAGTTAGCAAACTCTCGGAATCATAACTTTCGATTAATTAATCAATGTCGAGGGAATTGCTTATTATAGTAGATCTTCTTCGCTAATTTATGGGCATATCGCGGTTACTTCATTCCTTACTTTTGAAGTCACTTAAAGGTTACGATACCATAGGTCACTAGATTGACCTTGATTTTGACTATCATGCAACGATAATAAATATTTATTGTCTTATTTGAGAAAACGTCGATAATTTTACGTATTTTCGTAACTTCATATGTAAAAAACGCTCAAGAAATTGAAGTTAAGTGGAAAATTTTATATAATGTATTAAGGATTGTTTAAAAATGTGGCCGTATACGATTAAGATTTTTACTTGCTCAGCTTTCTGCCTGTATCTCTCTTTGATTGTCACAAAATCCGTCCCTTACAACTTTGTGTAAAATAAAAACTTTCTGCAACAGTTGCAAGATATGGAAGTTGCATAAAAATTGTTCACGCCTCCAAATCATTTATTTATTTAAAAATGATGTGAACACATTCTCATATCCTTCTGATGTTTTTATGTTTTTTTTTATAAAGGCATAAAATGCGCAATCTAATTGTCAGTAGACCGCAGATTATTATGCATTTATGGCACACGTAATTTGTTTCAAATGCAAGTAAACATGTATAGAATAAGAATTAATTACATTATTATTCTATTCATTACAAGGAATAATGTTCTAGTTACTATCAGAAATCTCCTTTCCTTTTTAAGATTTTTATAAAAGAATTAATGAAAATGGTAATTTGCGTAAAGGTTCTAGTTATCAGTAATCATAATTAGACTAGCCATATGAAATGTTAGATTACGATAAGCTTATCAAAACTATGTTCACATTCTTACGTTTCCGTTGTACAGCTTGTTTTTAACAAAATTCAGAACAAAGATCAGATCACATATAGCGTAAAAATGAATAAGCAACGATGCGATCAAATAATTATCGAAGTTTCTATAGCTGTGGGACGTGTTATCATTTTGCAATTCTGGCGTCAGTGGTCTTTGAATGGAACTTTCGTTCGTGTTTCTGTTCGAAGGGATTCTAAAGCGAATCGTTCAGTGAGACGTTGATAAAAAAAGGTTAATTAAGGTTGAAGACGCGGCCATTCAAGTTACCTCAGCGCGAACCGTAACGCTGAAAACCTGTTTGTTCGTTCAGTGATAGCGCAACTTAACGGAACATCAGTAATATAAAGTGCAAGATTTTTGCGATTCACAGCCATTCGAATTGTCCGTCAAAAGAACAGTAAATTTTGCAAAAATAAGTAAATTTTGTGTTAATCTCACAAGAACATGTTTCCAGCAAAAGTCGTTTACACGATAACATGTCGAATTTCAAAGAATTGTTATTTCTTCGATAAAAAATCGTGGTTACCTTCATTTTTTTTAACGGCATTGCATATTGTTTACTTCGTATTATTGCATTTCGTGCCAAGGTGAATTCAACGATCTGCTATAACACGAGCAGTCTTCTGTGAAAAAATTTATTTCTATACACTCACTTTGAACGAAGAACGTTGTCAATCAATTTATTCTAACTTTCAGATTTTTTTCACCGAGAATCAGCGTTCTTAATTACATTTCCCGAAAACATTAGAGACCCTTGAACGCGAGAATACATATATGTACCTGCTATACCATTTCGTGCGTGTTGCAACCTGTCTTTTTTTCGCGAATAAATTATTTCGTTCGTGTCTGGAGATTAATTATTGCGTCTGGTAAACTTCGTTAATTGCGAAAGTGATCAATGTGGCTGGAGGAAGTTTGTGGATTCGAGATACAGGATACAGATATCCCAGATTAACATCTCCGCGGGCCATGTAATTTAAACATCGAGTTAATAGTTCGTTTTAGCAATATAAAAATTAATTTTAAATTCTCCCAGATTCACATCTTGTATACACACTCCAAGCGCAAGTTTTCGTTCAGATCGACAAGAATTGTCGTCGAGAGACGACGATCGTTATCGAAAAGCTCTGTTTTGTAGAATCATGTATTGACAACTAAATTATAAGTCACAATGTTCTAGCACATTTAAAAATTTGCACTTTCCTTTTGACAATTATGATTTTTGCATTATTATAAATATTGTAAGACGTACGTCAGAAGCAAAATTCATGGAAAAATGTGAAAACTAAAGAGTTATTAAATAGATTGAATAATTCATGACGAATAATGAATTATTCGAAAAAAATATTTGACTAAAAGGAATTCGGATAATTATCTTAAATAAATATTTATTTGAAATAATCCGAGTAATGCCCAACTCTTTTCTGCTGTATGATCGGAACATTTTGTTCCATATAAATTCAATAAAGAAATAATTTAACAAAGTAATTATAATTAGTTGAACCAAACCGAAAACGCTTTTGTAGTGTGGATCGTTAGTCGCCGTTCGAATCGTCCAAACATATAAGCCAACGTCTTCGTTCCAGTGGAATGACCTGTTCATTTTTACATATTACAATTTTATTATTGGGTTGGCAACTAAGTAATTGCCGATTTCAGTTACAGATGTCTCTCACTCCCATTTTTATGATATCCGTAAATGTTATATTATAAAATTATGATTATTATTATTATTATGTTATTTTTTATTATCCGTGAATGTTAGCAACTGGACAAATTGAATGCAGCGGTTAAGGAAAAGCGACCAGAATTGGTCAATCGTAAAGGTGTCATTTTCCACCAGGACAATGCTAGGCCGCACACGTCTTTATCCACTCGGCAAAAATTGATGGATATTGGTTGGGAATTGATGTTATACCCACTATATAGTCCTGATCTCACGTCATCGGATTACCACTTATTTCGATTCCTGGACAACTCCCTTCGTGATAAAACTTTTAATCATGATGACGCTGTAAAATCTCCCTTAACTCAGTTTTTGGCCAAAAAGGATCAGACTTTCTACGACCGTGGAATTTTCAAGTTGTCAGAGAGATGGCAAAAGATCATCGAACAAAATGGAAAATACATTACAGATTAAACTTCATTCCAAGTAAAAAAAAATTTTTTATTTCATTGAACAAATCGGCAATTACTTAGTTGCCGACCCAATATATGACGGGTTGTGTTACATGAAATCGTGAAATCGAGAAATCTTGTTATATGAAAATTCGTATCATGAGAGAGTTTAGTGCAAATGAAGACCTACAAGAAACAAAAATTGTCTCCTTTCGCGTATTCATCATATAATTTTCTAATTAAAAAAGAAATCTTGAAAGAAAACTTCAAAAGAAATTCTTGTCACTTTTGAATCATTATTTAAAGTATTTCTAACTGTTGAATTTCGACTTTAATAAAAGAACAGTGAACTGTCGGCAAGTAAAGTGTTAAAAACGAACAAGTGGTTGATTTCCCCTAAATTAAAAGTTCGACGATTAGCGTTCGCTGTTCGCCCGCTTACTATGTTTCCAACCACGCTGCACTTAGGTGTTATGTAATGTCCTCAAGTATGCAGCCGATAGCAGTCATCGAAATGGAATGAGAATTTCATTGCTCCGATTATATCATCGAAAATATTCAACGTTTCGTGGCGAAATGAGTTTATCCATTTCACTGATAGTACTACTTTTTCGCTGTGCTGTGGTAGGAACATTGTAGAAAGCGATCGCTACCGGCCACGAGGATGTCAAAAGTCTCCTCATCGAAAGATAAGAAAAATAATGTTAACCGCTTCCTGCGATTTCGTTTCGTTAACTTCCTCGACTGGCAGTGACACTTATCAAGGGTTAGAATGAAACGGCTTGACAGAATGGGGGCTGGATAACGCTTATAACAAGCACGCCGCGGCGTCCGATATTTCCTGATTCAACTTTCTACATCTTCGACCTCTCGTTCTACAATCAGTGAAAACGATCCCTATTTTCCGACGGCGATTCCAAAATCCGGTGCGCACTGGCGTACTTTCTATCAAGAAGCTCGCCACGATTCATAGTTTCGTACGATTTTAATGAAAATCTATAGATTTTCGAGTTGCTGAACTTGTACATGTTATCAGAAGTTCAAAGAAAATTCGAAGAAAAGTCAGACACCCGATATAGCCTTTGCTTTTAACTTATTCTTTATTTCATTTCTTATAACTTACTAATTAGAATATACAATTTAATATAATGGTCTTAATTGTAAACCATTTCTGTAATTAATTATGATAATTATGATAACACCTAAGTGCAGCGTGGTTGGGAACATAGTAAGCGGGCGAACAGCGAACGCTAATCGTCGAAATAATATTAAAGAATATGATCGATTATAAACAATATATGATCAGAATCAACGTAATAATAAACCGCATAATCAATTATAAATATTGTTTGAAATAAAAAACGTCATTTTAAGAATAGAACTATATTTACAGTCAAAACAATTTTAATGCTTATAGTATAAATTATATTTATAGTTATACTTAATACAGTTGTACCTAATATTATAATGCATATTCAGACAAAAAGCAATGCTAAATTATTGGATAATATTGGATATTTGAATAAAGAAGGTAAGAAACTTAATTTTTGTACTTTTTTTCAGCCTTTCCTACCGATTTTTACAAAATTTCTTTATCTCATTGTCTAGCAAATTAATTCTTTTAACGATCAAAAACAAATTCAAGTTGTTTGGTGGAATTTTAAGAATATGTTATTTTCAAAACTCTTATCCCCCCGAAGGTTTATTTTTGTAACATCCTGGCACGAAAACATTCTATTATTTAAAAATTTTATTAAATTTCTCTATTGGTTGATAATGCATTTGTATAATACAATGATACAATAGAACGTTTCAATACCAGAACATTGTAAAGATGAATGTTCGGATAAAGGAGTCTCTACTGTACCACTGTGCAACGTCTCGTATAATTGAATACGGTGCTCGCAGGATTAACGACTGGGAACTAGAAAAACATACTGATCGTCGATCGTTAGGTCGTCGGCGACCGATGTTTTGCAGCATTATCGTTGGCCAAATGCCTGACTTGCAATGGTAGGCGCATCTTGAATGCGTTGTCAATCACTGCGTACTAAGAATTTCGCAACAAAGGAAATGATTACCATAAATAAAGCGTGAGAATGAAAAATGTGATTCGAAAAAATCACACGCTCGTTACATTATTAAATAAATTATGGAAATGCCCGCTTTTTTGCACAGACGTATTATATGTATACATAGTTAGTAAACGAGGATAAAAGTTCAATTTCATTTTATCGATTTTCTAATAGCGTTTTCATTACTATCAAGTCGTTGGATTTTTCTTTTGAGGGATACAATTAAATTTAACTGCTCGCAAATTAATGAAACAAAACCTAGTGTTTTAATAACGTCTTAGTTAGTTGTTTATGGTTTAATTAGTGGAATTTCTTATACGCGTCGTTTAATGCATTATTAATATAGCATATTGGTGGCATTATTTTGGAAATAGTCGCCGGTGTACTAGTTTAGACGTAGTAATTATTATCTTATATTATAATATAATTGTTATTTCAAGTAAAATTGAGCTGAAATGCGTTACAATGAGAGAAATGTTAATAGACAGATACAGTTATTTGGTTGTAGATTGTAATTATAAAATACTATATGATAGAAATCAGTTAGAGTAATTAGTTTTCTACAAAATGATTTATTCTTTCGTATGAAAAGTTATTTACGTTAAACTATGAAACAGTGAATTATATGCTCAATCTTTTAGCGATTATTATACGGTATTTTTCTGTTTGTTTTCTCGCAGTTGTACAAGGGCCTGGACATCATCACCGCCAAAGTAACGAAAGAAGAAAGGGCAATGGCACCGCATCACATGGTGGACACCATAGACCCCCTAATTCACGACTTTACTGTGTTGCAATTCCGGGATATGACCTTACCCATTGTAATTTCTCCACATTTCTCGTTTCGCACAGACCTACTTTTGTTGAAATTACACACGTTAAACCAGTCACCTATAACAGCTGATCAAGATTAATTTTTGATGCGAGTTAGATTTGATCGAGCTGCTCGATATTATTAAAACGAAAGTCAACGTGAACGCGATAATTATGAACGAACTATTAATATCAATTGCATACCGTCGCGATAGGTTCTCTGACATGTAAATAACCTGTTATAAAATCGCTGCTTATGATTTTTCTTGTACAATACGATTAGTCTATGCCAGCCTACGTTCGTCTCGCTTCTGGTCCATTGCCGCACGATTTCGTTTGATCCGAATCGATTCCTTCCTCGGAACGCTTCGTAAAATGAATTCTTAGAACGAAGCGGCATGGCCCCACCCGCAAGACCATGAAACTAATAATTAGACACGGTCTTTAACAACGACCTCTGATTCTGTGCCACGTCGCCTTGAGCCTCCCTCGAATATGCATCTGCTTTGACCAATTTAGATAGACGAGCTACTAGCCAGGGAAAAGCTTCCGATCATTGTCGGTGGAACCAATTATTACATCGAGGCTCTTCTCTGGAAGATTCTGATTGCTAATTCGGAAACGGTTGCCAACTCGTCGGTTAGTTTGTGCATGGAAAACGCGTACAACGACGGCGATAATAAGAAACTGAAAATCGATTTGGATCGGAACAGCAAGGAGAGCAACGAGAATCTTTTCAAGAAACTGATGGAGGTCGATCCCGAAATGGCGAAGAGGTTACACCCTAACAACAGGAGAAAGATCATTCGGTAAGTAACAGCAATTGCATGAATTCGTGTGATAGAAGTAGATTGCGGATTTTATGCATTTATGACGATTATTAATTCGGGTAACGTGAGATAGTAACGAAATGATATGCATTTGAAATTGTTGTTGAATTATTTTAAATTCGTGAAGCGTAGTAAAAAAGAAAATTAATTTCTAATTTAATCCTAACAGAGCTGGGCGCAATTAGAATAAAGTTTTATTCGAACATTTCGAATACATTTTTGGAATAAATTCTACGAATAAATTTTTATTCGTTATCTGTTATCTAATCTATGAATTTCAGTTTGGTGCATGAAATTATTTTGCATAAGAATAAGTCTTGCGCTTAGTATCTAGTGATAACTAGACCGTGAATTATGACAAAAATAAGTTGATCACGTAGAAAATTGTAATCAGCACTTAAAAAATTAAAAAATGCTGTTGAACATAGCTCGTATATCTTGTAATTAGTGTTAACAATTTTTATTTTGCATAAAAATCCGCAGTCTAGTGATAAACTTTTATTATCTATTGTGTTGAACAAGCTTGGGCACATTTTATTTGGATTAAAATTGAATTGTTTCTAAAATAACAAGAAAAGTATAGGGCATAAGAGATCGTGAACAGACTGCTTGTTATTTTATTTACAAGAATTTATTTACATCACTATGTTTGTTCTTGAAATTTCTCTTACACCAAATATTCTTTCAAAAAGACGTTATGGAAAACAATTTTTATAGTACGGTGTCGCATGTAAGAAACACTTTTATTTGATGATCAAATAGTAAAATACTCTACAGAGAAATTATTTTCATGTACAGATAAAAAAACTAACGCACGGTTGATTCACATTGACACCTCTCAAATGAAGTAATAATAATGATAAAATCTCGTGTCTGAACTTGAAAAGTGTTTATTAATGTTTTTTAAATTCATCATCAGATTAATAATTCAATTATAAAGACCGTAAAACATTCAATTTTATTCCAATCCATTTCCACGGGTTTTCCTTCGTAAGAATTACGTTGGTCGCCAAGTAACAGTTCATCCAAAAATTGATAAGCCAATGACAGACAACCTCGGCACACGGTAATTTATGATAAGGTATCGTGAATTGTCTTGAAGCAATGATTTAATAATTCGAGGAGAGAGTTTGGAATGTTATCTTATCCATACGTGACGTCTGGTGATCGATTGGTAAATCAAGATCTTGTGAAACGTTAAATCAATATTAAAAATATATGTATAATGATACCGTCAACGCGATCGATTGCTAATCCACCGTGTATGATAATGACCGAAGATGTGAAGATGCCTCGTACTTAAATAAAAAATAGTCAGACACTTGAAAGAACATTGTTTAAACTTTTGCATTGTCTCGTTATCTTTCGTATATTTGATATCTTATTTTACTGCTGACGTTGAGAGAGCATTGTATACCGTACCGTAAGAAACGGTAATTGTAGTTTCTCTATTTCTTAAATATACAAATTGTTTTTATGATCCGCAGTGCTACGAGCAATTGTGTGAAACCGTCAGTCATAAATTGCTATCCGAGGCCGCGTATTTTTTCACTAATGTTTTTCAAACCCTGACTTGTTGACTTCGTGCAAAGAGACTATTTTAACACACATAGACCCGACCTTGCTGTATTAAACCGTGCTAAAGCCATAAATGTTGTCATTACGTTTCTCTCTCAAATATTTCTTTTTATCTATCGAGGTGATATAATATTTATACTTAATTTACTATATGTATAAACGCATGAAAGTTACTTGTCATTCGAGCTCTGGGTAATTGTATTAAACTTCTCTATTTGAATTATCAATTGGAGAAAGGGAGAACAGAGTTTTCCGGCAACAATTGATGTAAATGAAAAATAATAGGATTTGCTAACGCCATTGCTAATAATTATGCTTCATTGCTACCACTCTTTAGGAATAACGAAAATTCATTCACATCGATGGTTTTCCATGTGTAAATATTAAATTATTTGCTGCAAGTATACGTTTCTGTACTGTACTTATTGAGTGAAAACATAGTTGTTGTTATTTTCAGATTTATTAATTCATTACAGTATTAAAATTCTCAGTTACCTATACGTTTTTATTAATATATTGGGTTGGCAACTAAGTAATTGCCGATTTGTTCAATGAAATAAAAATTTTTTTTTTTACTTGGAATGAAGTTTAATCTGTAATGTATTTTCTATTTTGTTCGATGACCTTTTGCCATCTCTCTGACAACTTGAAAATTCCGCGCTCGTAGAAAGTCTGATCCTTTTCGGCCAAAAACTGAGTTAAGCGAGATTTTACAGCGTCATCATCTTAAAAGTTTTACTACGAAGGGAGTTGTCCAGGGATCGAAATAAGTGGTAATCCGATGGCGCGAGATCAGGACTATATGGTGGGTGTAACATCAATTCCCAACCAATATCCATCAATTTTTGCCGAATGGACAAAGACGTGTGCGGCCTAGCATTGTTCTGGTGGAAAATGACACCTTTACGATTGACCAATTCTGGTCGCTTTTCCTTGACCGCTGCATTCAATTTGTCCAGTTGCTAACATTCACGGATAATAAAGAATAACATGATAATAATAATAATAATAATTTTATAATACAACATTTACGGATATCATAAAAATGGGAGTGAGAG